CCCTGGAGTCGGTACCTACTCATAGTGACATTGTACAGGGTTTACGAGGCTGTAAATCTTTATAGGAGCAAAAAGTCTCAACTTTCTCCCACAAAACAGCTGGTAGTTTCGAACTGCTGACCCTGAGAGGTTAGCAGCCCAATTCATAACCACTATGCTACCAGGGTCATTATCAGTCAGAACCAACTCAACAACACACAACAGCATAAATCATTTCCGTTTCTTTACCTTTATACCTTTATATCTTTACACCTATACAAGGGGGCTTCAAAAAGTTTGTGGAAAAATTCCAGTATCTTTTTTGTTCCATTTTTCCATGACTTTTTGAAGTCCCCCTCATGTTCTTTAAACAATTTTTCTCATGAAAAAACGAACTTTTCTTGTGTTTTTTTTTTCCACTACTGAAATTTTGTAAGGCAGCATTGAACAGTAAATAAAAATAATATAACGCTACATATTATTAGCCCAGTTTCAGTATTCCTTAAAATCTCTTAATGCCTTCTTAATACTTAAAGTTTCCTTAAAACTGTCTTTAATTCCCACAGCTTAAAAGTATGGGTGGTACTGTAAAACGCAGTCAAGTTAGAAGAATGGTGAATATAGAATCAAATTATATATTCAATTAAATTATATGTCCTTGGTACAATAAATCATCATTAAGTTACCTATCGGATTCCTGATATGGCGCTATGGCATCAGCACTGGACTGCAAAGCATAAGATCAGCAGTTCAAACCCACCAGTAATCGTATGTAGGGTTGCTATGAGTTTGAACTGACTCAATGGCACTTAACAAAAGCTACTTATCAAGCATGCCATATGAAATAGCTGAAATTTACTCACAGAAAAATAGGACTTCAAAGGTCTCTCAAAGAGCCAAGTTTACACTTTCAAGAAGGACAGGTGAAATCAAGGCAGAGCATCATCTACCTGTATTCTTTAAAATGTCTATGGCCTCTCTCACAACAGAATCAATTCAAGAGAATTGATTCTAATGCTTAACCTAAACTTTGGATGTAATTTAAGTTCTTTTTCTGAGTAACTGCTGATTATTACAACCATAATCCCATCACTTAAGTCTTCTCTAATACTTGATTTTAAACTACACATTCCTTAGCATTTTAATCATAATCCTTTCTCTTAAGTCTCTCTAGTATTAGATTCTGAACTACACTTGTTAGTATTTTTACTACAAATTGTTCAAAACTGAGTTTACTCTGGCATTTTCTTAAAATACAAATAATTTACTACTACAAACCAGAAATTAAGTTGAAGAATTCTACCAAATTCTTC